GTAGAACAAATGACTGATTGATTATAAGAAATAAATAAACTTAAAACGCAGCACAAAGAAATAAGCAACATAAAATGGATTAAATGAACCAACTGATATAAGGTAATTGAATATGTACCGAAAAACAACATGATACAAAACCACAAGGATGATTCATCACGGGATGGACGACAATAACAGAAACAGCGTGAACGGTGTATTAAAGTATGACCAGTGGTTGTTAGGCTTGGCGGTAGAAGTCAGCATATACGCTGCTTGCACTTCTCCATTTACCGGCCACAAATCTGTACTTTCGTCCCTCCTTGTACGCTGCGGAGACATGTACAGATCATTTCCTCTTCTCCTGTAGGTTAGCTCTGGTCAGGTCTTCGACACTGAAGAAGAAACAACTGCGCAGGACTTGTCCTTATTACCGGAGGATTTTGATTTTGTCCCGATAGCTGTTAAACTTGATGAGAAGATGCCGTGGTCTACCATCCATCTTTGGACCATCACGGTGGGCTCGTTCTAGCTTCACGTCAGACATCTTGAATTCCTCCTTAATGAGATCATGAGCGACAGCCAGGCAGTCCTCACCTTTCTGCTGTGGGAAGCCGATGACCCGAATATTGTTTCCCCGAGAGAAACGCTCAAGCTTATTCAGCTGGTCGGCATGGTCAGCCACGGTTTTTTCCATCTTAGCAACCGTTGCTCTCAGCTGATCAAATTCTTTTATTCTCGATTCTTGGCCATCAATACTATGTAGGCTTACTCTGGAACTCAGTCGTTGATGTTCTGTTCCAGCCTACGTATGCGGTTGCGTAACTCACTTTGTCCAGATTGAATCTCTGTCAGGGTATGACGGACAAAGTGTGCAAACTAAGTATCGGAAATGGACTAGGCTGTGCTTGGATTGTCACACGCTGGCGATAATACTGGTGGTGATTCGAGATCATTCCCAGGTAGTGTGGTTTTCCTTCGTCCACCAGGTATGATTTCTCACCAAACGTTCTCCTGAGCTTGTGTGTGTCCTTACTGAGAGCTAGTAAAATTTTGATGCACGCATAGGCTAGGTAATTGGATACTTCTCTACGGAGTCACCCAGTTTCAGTGCTCACTTAGACGTGGCTATTATCTTCTTGATCATCCTCATCCCTAAAAAAAGTGATCTCACAGAGATTTTAAACTGGAGACCAGTTTTGCTATTAAACACTGACTACAAAATTTTTACCAAGCTGCTTGCGAACAGACTGAGACTTTATATCGGCAATATGATTTATTTAGATCTATCCTATTGTATTCCCGGACGTACGATTTACGATAACTTAAATCTAATTCGCGATGTTACTAATTATTGTAATTATAACGAACTTCCTTTGGGTGTGGTCCTTTTTGATCAACGCAAAGCCTTTGATAATGTGGATCACGCTTTAAAAAAATATTTTGAGTGCCATGGGATTTGGGGATAATTTTGTTATTATCTTCGCCTTTTGTACAGCGGTGTCGAGAGCCATATCAAAGTCTGCGGGTCCCTGACTGCCCCCTTTCCGTATTTTTGTATTACTACAATCACAGTATTTGTCTGTGCCCCTGTGTATTCAATTCTTAATTTTCTACCTTTAATTAGTTTTATTTCTTAAATGTACCCCAGTGTCTATTTCGTTTTCCATTTTAATCTTTACATTTTTCGGTACATAAACTCTATTCATTGTATTTTCTTCAAACTTAGGTTAGATCCTCAAACTTAGGTTATGCCCGGGGAAACAACCACACCGCCACATTATTATACTTATCTGCAAAAAATGTTATTTGTGGCCAGTCTGGCTAATTTGAATTGGTCTGAGAGCATTTTATACCTTGAGCTGGACTAATGTTATTAGAAAAAATTATTAAAGTATTATTGTGTACAATGTATATGTGTAGTGCAGTATTGGTAAATTTGAAATTGGCTGAAAGTGGAGCAATTACAAATATTAACCGATTTGCAAGAAAAACGTGATTGTTTATGGTGTATGTAACGCGGAAAATTGGCTCAGGAACATTTCCTTAAAAAAAATTGATAAATATGTGACTGTAGTCGGGGCTCGCGTCTAAGTTATCAACGCCAGAGGATAAAAAGAATCTTTCAAGGGAGAATCACAAGATAATCCTTCGAAACAGTTACGACAAACTAAACATAACTTGAATTTGAACAATTAATAATCTAATAACAAAAATATCCGGTGTGATACTAGATCGAAACACTGCCATGACCTATGCTCCACAAAATCTTACGTAAGATTGGTTAAGATTTCTAATCTGCATACGTTCAATCTGTTAGTGGCTGCTGGAAGTCTAGGCGGGAAAGTAAATTGTATGCTATTGGTTAAAAACTTTGAAATAATCCCATTTTGGATGAGGGGTGGACTCGATAAATCAATACAGCGTAAAAATGCAACATGGGTTAAAACAAAATTAGAAGGAACCAACGTTTCCTTTAACTTTATTGACAAATTCCAAACTTATTTTTTTTGTTAAAAGAAGTTAACTTGCATATAAAAATGTCAATGTTGCCTTTGAAAAAAAAAGTAAAAATTATTAACTGTAAAAGAACTTTCACTGCCATCTTGAAAACTTGTCATGGTTCAAAGCCTAGTATGCTGCTTTGATAAACATTCTGTAAAGTGCCAAATATAGCGTTCAGTAATTTGGTAACAGTATTGAATTTCTTTTGAACTGCATGTTTCCAGTTACTTTATCTCCATTGTCAACTGGATTAAGTGTAGTTGAACGCTCACCCAACTAATCTCACCTGTTACAACCTTTAAATCTAGTCCATCGACACCCTGCTGCAATATATGGGACTGAATGGTATCCAGTTGCAATGGGACCCAAAGGGATCCCTCTGCAATGGGACCCAACCGGGCCCCGTTGCAGTATGGGACCCGATTTGCTATTGGACTCAACGGGATCTCTTTGCAGTGGGGCCCAACACGATCCTGTTGCAATATGAGCCCAACGGGATCCTGTTTCAGTGGGACCCAATGGGATCCCGTTGCAGTGGCACCCAGCAGAATTTGTCCCAAATTCCATATTGGATCTCGTTGCAATGGGATCCCATTAGTTTCGTTCAGTAGGACACGGATATAAAATTGTAACTGTCTCAGCAAGTCGAACGACACTTCCAGAGCTCCGTAGAAAAGAGTGCACTCTAAGGCCGGGTCAATGAATCACTTGGCTATGGCTTGAAATTGCACACAAATTTACGGAAACTGGCTGTGGCCACTAGACTCGCAAGTATTCTCTGGTCGCATCCAAGTGCAAGAGCGATCCAGTAAACCCCGCCTAGTGTACACGTGGGCACTTGGCACCCGTTTTTCTCCATTGCCACACTTAATTTTACACCGGCGCACATCATACGCACTTGAACGCATATCGGACTTCCATGCACTTATGTCGGACCATGAAGGTCGGAAGACGAATCGCAGCTGTGATTGGTCGTCAAATAATGAGGTGGGGCTTAACGGGTCGGTGTATTGGCCAGATTTCCCGGCACACTTAAAAGAATCCACGTACTTTTCAGCAGGACATTTTGAACTGCACTTGTTCCATTTTGATCCATTGCATACGAAATCGGAGGGCCATGAGAATTCGTGCCGGGCAAGCAGCTGTTTCATTTCATGAAATTTGTGTCTTTTTTCAATTTTTGGAAATAACGATACCTGACCACAAATATTTTCATAGTAGGTTTAGGCCTAGGCCTATTCCTCACGTATTATGTGAAAATAAAATCTAGAAATAGCAACGGAGTGGTCAAAACTAATAATTTTCGTGTAAAGTTCTTTTTGTGAGCGGTAGTTTGTTTACGTTTTGTACGACTTTTGAAGGCTTGAAACAAAAAAAATTGAAATTTTTCTGAAATTTTCAAAAGTGACTTGTAGTGAAAAAGTGTGAAAGTTTTTAGATTTTTGTGGACAGTTTTCCGTTAAATTTTTGCTCTTCCCGACGAAGCGCGTTTGCATATCAACTTACGTCGTATAGGCCTATCGTATGTCCTTGCGAACTTAATGATTCAGTGTTTCGGGAATAATATCGCGAGTGGCATCTTCGATATAATTTTTCTTCCCCAGAGGCACTGTTTGCACCAAACACATTTCTCGTTGTCACAATAAAAGGTGGTCACGAGCTCGCCCTGTATACGTTTTTTCACGCACAGTAACGCATGTTGTTTGATCAAAGGATTTTCTTTATGAGTCAGATATTAACTGGCAATTATGACTATGGTGCTTTTAAGATTACAGTCATGTGATGGTGAGACAAACTAAACAAAGAAGGTATGCCCGTAGATCTCAACAGATATAAGGATATAAGGCTCACACCTCGTAAAAAGTGGGGGGCATTCCACAAAGTAAAGCAAGTTTAGCTGTAGAATGGCCAGCGTGTTTCTCTTCGTCTTCTGTCTTGGAGGGCTTTTCCCTCAGACATGCATGGGGGTTGGGGAGGACTTGCCCCTGTTTCCTGGGGACAGCGTCGGTGACATGATGGGGCAGGTGGTGGCGACGGAACCGCCCATCGTTTTTCTTCAGCTGCTCCAGGACCTGATTCCAGTGGACCCAGCGCAGGCTGAGGTCATTCAAAAGCTCATCCTTCAGCTATTGACGGGTGCCAAGACGGTCACCGAGTCGAAAGCCAGTGGATTACAGAAATTCCAGGGCCTTTTTGGTGATGCAGTCCAAGCATCTCTCGTCGAACAGCTGACCCGTCAGCTGCTTGGAGACACACAAGTCCCAGACGGCGTTGTGGAGCAAGTTGCCGACCTGCTTGCTTCTGACTCACTGGATGGCTTGATCCAGCAAGTCCAAGGCTTTCTGCTGGCTGCGGCAAACGGTTCGAACACAGTGCTTGACCTGTTCTCCAACAATTCGACATTTGTTCAAGACCCACGACATCTTCTGGCGAATCTTGACCTGGTGCCAGAGGAGGTCGAATGGCAATACTTAGCACTGACTGTTCAGGGTGAGCTTCAGAGGTACCTCCAAAACCACGTCCTCCAAAATGTGTCCACTGAATGCGCCAACAACACTTTGCAATTTCTTACTGATATCGCCAACGGCCTGCCCTATGCGAGCCAGAGTAAGTAGATTTGTTTTCCATATTATATTTATATAATTGAATTTCGTTGAATCTTTACCTGCTCGTTTTGTCATACACAAAATTCTAAGTCATCGTTGCACTCCTTGGTATTTAAAAGTTTGCAGTGATTTCTGACTTTATAGCTGATGGCACCAATTACCGAAGGCGCAGAGAGAATGACAGTCGTATTTCATGATCAGTTTTTATGACCCTTTCCGTTTTAATGTTTCTGAGTAATTACCTTTTTCGTTCGGATGTTTCTGAGCGATAACACCCTGATTATCAAGGGCTGACCTTAAGGGGGCATGTCCCTCTCACAAAGGGTTAGTTATTTTTGAAAAATAATGAGACTTGGGGAGAACTTACTTTTCAAATTTCAGATGTGTGTCTAAAACCTTTTTAAATTTCACCCCTCAAGAAACTTCCTTAAAAGTAAAGAAACGTTGCCCAACAATTAGTAACCAAATTTTTTTTGAATCTTCCCTTATTATTATATATAATTATGATAGGCCTATATTATCCAAGGAGAAATCTTCCGCTGTCAAAAATTGCTTATAATGCCATTTTCGTTAGAGGGCCAATGTTTTATTTTCAAAATGGATATTCGACGTCTAGATCTTTTAATATAGTTCGATAAAGTTGACAATCCTATCAGAAACTTTTTTCCTCCCATTTAGGAGAAGTAAATCGAAAAATTATGACTTAAGTAGGGCAACTTCACTACTTTTTGATAGAATATTGTCTTGGGCAAAAGTTTCTTTTCCCATGAATGCAAAATAATTACTTTTTAATATCAGATGTTTACTACTGTCCTTCACAAAATTAAAGTAATAATCGTACAGGTTATTGTTTAAAAATCCAAGAGTAGACTTTCCTATGACGGAACAGGTGCTTTCCTTGTGACAAATCCAACGATGTTTCATCCGACATTCCAGATGGTTCCATTCCAGATGGCGAACAGCATTGGGTTGGGTTTGTAGGAATTAAGTAATTGTCATGATGCTTATTGCCATTGCTAGCGGTCACTGCCAACAGCGTTACAATGGCCACCGGGATTTGTCTATCTGGAACTTTCCATTCGACGTGCGGTACAAAAGGCTGCCCTGTACGTGTTGTGCGCTGTTAATATGCTCTTTTACCTAATAGGTGTGATCTTGCTACGCAATTCCTGTTATAAATGCAACACTCAAAATTAATCAAAGAAGTTGTTAGACTTTACTCTCATAGAACTGCATTGTTTTGCAGACATCTGAGTTGTGTAGACATATATCTTGCAGTTCACTTTTAGTCAATAAAAAATTGTATCAGGGAGAAAACAAAGTGCAAGTCTTCCATTTGTCTTTTTTAATGTAGTGTGGTTATCCAATGGAGACTTTCTAAATCTGGACGTCCTGACTACTTACAACACCCATAGTATCGGTAATGTGGAGCAGTGCCAGGTAGTCAAGGATTGGAACCCAGACGCCCCGTTTGAGACGCAATACTGCACCCTCTCTTACTTGGCCTTGGTAGGTATCAACGACAATACAATGAGTGGAGTTATTGTTTGAGAATACATCAATTTCTCCATGCATCTACAATTTGTACCCTGCTGTAATTTCCACGATCCGCTATCTTATTCGCCTGATCTGTCCTACAGTGAGGTGTAGAGCTACGAAACAAAGACATCAAATACGCATTGAGCTGAGGTAGCTAAAACTCTTATGGACATATTGATTTGAGTGATGCCTCAAAAGATGCTTGTAAAAATAGGAAAACTGTCTGCCCATAAATGAAAAAAGAGAAATACTTAAAAAACCTTTTATGCTGATCAGTTCGAAATGATTAAAGAATACGTTATTTTCAATATTTCAGCGTTTTTTCACAAAAATTTAATGATCTTAAAAAACTTCATTTTGGTTCTGTTGAATGATAATCAGCGTGGGTCAATTTCATTCTGAACTGAATGAGCCAGACGCTAAATTAAATAGCGACTTGGTGAAAATGGCCCAGGAAACTTGTATTCCGTATAGCTTATTATCTGTGATGCCGCAGAGACAAGCTTGCTTTCCCCCCCAAAAAAAAAATATAATAAAATGACTCTCTAAGACAGCTTGGTAATCGGCCCTGCCTGTGTCTCATCAACCGTTTATTGGCAAACATCATTCCTTTGTTTTTAGGCAACGACTCTTCGCGTTGGTGTGTGTGTGCCCTCGAGCTGTTCAAATGCCGACCTAAAGGAAGTTTTTGGAGTTATTCCAGGTAGGGCAATCCTTGCGCTATAGATTTCCTCCAAAATTACCTCATCCTATTGAAGGAAACCGTTTTGAAGTACTTGAACCATAGAGACCTTTGAAAGAGTTCGTATAATAATTCATGCCACTTTCCGAGAGAGCTAACCGAGGCAATCAGAGAAAATGTGACGTAATCAGTTCTCAGTAGACTGGGTCCCGTCCCGTCCTCCAGACGTCTTACAAACAACATCTGAAGGTAGGGACCAGTAGCCGGTAATGAATCCGCCAGAATCCTGCTGGTTTTATGTAAATGACGAAACGATGCCCACTCAATGCACAAGTCAGGCAGGCGATGACAGCATATTTAGCTATTTCTTCTTTACAGAAAATAACTTTACCATAAATTGTTCATTTATCTAAAATCTAAAACAGTAACCACTGATTTGAAATAAATGTTTTATCGATGATAACCATTGAAAAGTAAATTACCACACTGTGATTAACAGAGACTTAGCAAGGGAAAGGTACTTGTGTTTTATTCGCCTACCTGCTGAAACGTAATTCATGTCAAAGCATTGCTACAGGCCTGATAAAAACTAAAAAATCAAGGCTAATCGCACACGTTAAACTGCAGGTAGCCATCAGTCCCTATACAGGGTGTCCCAGAAAAAAACCAAACCCTGACGAAAGGGGTTAATATGCCCAAACCGTTAGATATGATTATAATGTATAAGGACGTCCGAAAAGTAGAAGCAATTTCTTTCTAATGATACCTTGACGGTATCCCTCCTGTCATGAATGACTGAACACCATTGTCTTGAAAATGGGGCATCCGAACTCAGTTGTAACACTTTGGATAAACCAGTGAATGAGGTTGTCCTCTGTCATGCTTGTCCTGGTTGAAAATGACAACAACAGGTCATGTTATTAATGAGGAAAGATTGTCTTTTGCCTAATCTGGTTTAAATGTGTTGACTTGCCCCGAGGTAGGCCAGTGCAGTGTTGAAAAGTGTTCGAAGCAGGACAGCAAGTCTGCAACATGGCGCAAAACACCAAAGAGCAAAGAATGTTTGTCGTGACGACATTTCTTGAAAACAACAGCTTTCAAGCCACCCAGCTGCTAAATTTTAACTTTGAAACCAACATGAGTCGTGAGAAGGTCACCGTTTGGGTAGGACTGCGTGGGAATGGTGTCAAATTGTCATTATCGGACCATTCTTTTTCGAACAGAATGTGAATGGTCAACGGTACTTGCACATGATCAACGAACATGTGATACCCAAACTTCAGATGCATTTTCTTTGGCATGAAAATGGTGTTTTCCGACATCTGTAGTGGGCCCAAGACGGGGCACCCGCACACAGGCTCATCGCTATAAGGAATCTCCTGCGGGAACTGTTCCAAGATCGAGTAATTGCTCTTAACCATCCAATTGAATGGCCGACCCGTTCTGGATCTCACCCCGTGTGATTATTCTTTATGGGGATATCTGAAGGACAAACTTTTCACCAGTTCACCACGTAACATCCAAAACTTACGAGGACGCATTCAACAGGAGGTCGACATCTTACGACATGACCCTGCATTGGTGAGACAAGCTGTGGCTGACATGCGCCGCCGCTCTGAACTCTGCATTGAAAGGGAAGGCGGACACCGACATGTCGGTGCACAATTAAGTGTAAATTACGTAATGTGTAAGATAATAATCGGTGTGCCCCTGATATCTTATCTAGGACAAGCATTACAGAGAACCACCTCATTCACTGGTTTATCCAAAGTGTTACAACTGCTTTCGGATGCCCCATTTTCAAGA